GCATAACAAACACGGCCACACCAGCACTTGAGCTGTCCGGAAAAGCTTACAACATACCCGGATCCTCACCTAGCAGTACAATGCCGGTAGCCTACTCTGTTTCAGACATTCTGCCGCCCGGTAGAAACTCAATGCTACTGTCCTCGCTGTTTCCTGAATCAAATTTATAAGCAAGTAAAATAGAGAAGGATAGGTTAACCCTGATGAACACAGATTTCCTTGATGAACTTAGACGAAAAAGAGCCTTAATCGGTTTGTAATATCGCAACTAACTTCTCTCGAGCACAGCGTTCAGGGAGAGACAGCGCCACAGCATAGAGCGGTCGACTGAGTCGAAAGCCGTTTTAGGGATCGAGGAACACAGAAATGGTGGATCTACGAAATAAATGCTTGTGTTACAAAATTGCGCGAAGGGTGAGAATATGATCAATAAAGCCTTGACTAGGTATAAAACCAGCCTTATACTCAAGCGTGCACGTTCAACTTGCGACCAGCAATCGACAGAGCATATTGCCGGCGAGAAGCTTAGAGAAAATCTTGGTTATAACATTTTTTTCTGTGATTTTTGAAAAAACATTTTTCTCCTTTTTTGTGAATCAACTATCTTTTAATTTACACTGCCTTTTATTGAATAGATAATGGTATATATTTCAGGAAGGGAGATATAATCAATCAAAGGGCTGCCATACAACACAATGAAGGAAGTCAGGCGGTTGTGGTGGGATTCGGACTTTTAACACCGGGCCACCACTGCCGAAAGATTACTTGCATCCTATTCACAACTCCACATCGATCATCGGAATGACGTCAACTCCAAAACTAAGACTGAATCTCCATTCTTTAAAAACGATAGGGACTGCCGTCTGGTCAAGAGGTCTTATACCTTTTGAGACAACTTATATCTCTAGTAACTTCCATTTAGGATGAAGGAATGTTAAGAAAAACCAGTACTTATCCAATTAAAACAAGAGTTGGGGTGAGTCTCACTTCAATCGGTTGAGCTGTGCCTTAAAATGTTTTGCGCATAAATCAAGATGGCGTCGCCGAATATGAATCCGTATACTGTCGGAATAATTAGTTACCCCCCATACGCCTCTGTTCCTTGGACCCGTATGAAAAAGATTGCGACCGTTACCAACAGCCGCAGCCATTTTCATCTCGTAAAATTTTGTTTGCTAACAAAACATAATATTTGGCATCTGGAGGAATGTTTGTGTCAATGTCCGGCTAAAGCCGAGTTCTTTCTGGTGTCCTTGATCGTGAGCCACAATCCGCAATTGCTTTGACCGACATGTTAATGGCTTACTTGATTGAACTTTATGATCGTTGACTCCTTCCATAGCAATTGAACTGAGTGTTGAAGTGAGAGCTCAGCATCAAAAGTCAATCTATAGCCGTTGCTTAAGTTGCATTGTGATTTTACGTTGCCGGCGGGGATGTTTCGGTTAACTAATCTTAATCCTGAAAAATACCTTGAATGTATATTCACTGTAAACCGTACCCCATCTCCCTCTGACAATGTCCAGATTCATGGAAAGCCGATGAGCTGGGTCAGCCAGGTGAAGTACTTAGGTGTCACACTTGAAAGTAACCTTCGCTGGTCCTGACATACCCAAAGTGTTGCGCGCAAGTTGAAAAGGCTCTCTTTTCAGATCAGAAGATTGCGCCAATTCTGTTCCGACTCGTCGGTGATAAACACTTTCGTTCAACAATGTGTCCTCCCTATACCCCTTTATTGCTCTCCGGTCACTTTCCCAGGTTTGTTGAAGGCTGATTTCAAGTTGATGAGACGTGGCCTCTCAATGATCAGCCGTGTCTCCCAAGTTCCATTATCTGTTCTGATTGGCAATATGTGTAATGCCCATATTGATGCATGCTTAAAGTTTGCTGACAATATCCTATCTGATTGCACCCATCCTCTACACACTGACTTGTGTGCATGCAAATCCCACCCCTGCACCCGTTCCAAGTACAAACTTATCCCGTCTCGCATATCCGCATACAGAAACTCTTTGGTACTCTATCTTGCCCGGATACTGAGCGACAAGGAAAGTGTTCGCTCTGAGCTTTCTAATGCATTTGGTAATTAACTCATACCTTTGTATGCTTTCACATCCCACTTTCTCCCCCTGTTTTTACCAGAATTGTAACGGTGGTCTATTTTTTGCCTGGAAGCCTGTATATATAACTCGCTAAAGCTTGAATACAATACAATACAATACAATAGCAATGTGGTCAATTTGTGCCCATCGCTCAGAATGGAAAGCAGGTTTCAGTGTAAGACGATATCCATTCTTGTGGGAGAACATGGTAGTTGATGGGAGCGACCCGTGGTCGGTGCAAACTTGAATTACGCAATCTCCGATGTCTGTCCGGTTTCCTCGGTTTGAATGTGGTCCATCCAGGCACGCTTGTGACTCATTCAGGGATTCTACTTGACCACTGAAGTCGACATCCATTACTGCTACGTGCGTTGAGCAAATACATTAGATTAGTCGGGCATAATTCATTCTTCTATTCATGTGCACTGCAATCAGTCAATGCATATACGGACATATCCCCAGTTAGGTTTTCTCGTAACACAACGTTCATTTCCTAAAAACGTATTTTTATGTTGTGTTTTAAACTGGCATGGTTTCACAGTGTGCATCAAAAATCATAGTAGAATTGTCTTTATGATAGACAAACCAATCTATGATTGATTTCTGGTCGCAAAACGTCAAATCGCCTGGCACACGAATAAAGCAGCGTGAGATCTGGATTGGGTGTAAACAACGCAGGGGGTAATAGAGATAGGATCTAGAATGCGTATTTCGGATACAGCGTACATTTATTGTGAACGTTTCAATGGTTCCATCAAGGTAGCTTATTGATCGATACGAAAGAGTGTGGGCGAACTGATTGCGGCTAAGTGGAGAGGAGATTTCGATTTCATCAACCGGACTGGTTTACCTTGCTAGCCACACATTGGGTGATATCTCTCGTAATATACGAGCGACAAGAAGAACTAAACAGACGAGAAAGAGGATACTCGAAAGATTTGTCTGAGACTTTATTGCATGATATACTTCGCAATAGCGCATGCAAACGAGAATTTTTCTTTTGGAATACTAACTGGAGCATTTGACTCGAGCGTTTCACCCACAAGGCAGGGTGGGCGCAAATCTAATGCTTGGTGTGACCGAAGCACTCATGTTGGGAGCTTCTTGATAGTCGTTACGCAAGGCCTCGTGTATGTGTTGCTCATTGGTGCTTTGATTGACGATTCACCGTTCGCGATCGGCTCTCATTATCATGCACCCAAACAGAGAGGTGAAACGTGGACACCACAGCACCCAGTTGGATCGAGGCTTCCAAGCTTGAGCGAGTGGTAGCTGTCTAATGATTTACGAACACTTCTCCCACCGTCGGGAGGAAGTTCTAGATACCCTGCTCCTACGTCTATCTAGCGGGGGGTTATCAACAGATTAATTGCTCCTCGTCTTGTTTATTCCCCAATGTGATCACTGCAGGAGAGGAAGCGGCTTGCCAAAGAGAGCTATGAGGTGCTTAACTAATTTGCTACATGAGACTGACTTTTCTCACTTCTAACCTGAGGCTGTATGAATAAACGTCGTATAGCTAGGTGGTTCATGGAGGCAGCCCAACCATTGCACTATGTGAAAGTGTAATGTCGTCGAGATAGTACCACAAGCGTGACTAACCAACTGGATGTGAACATTTTTTTGATGGATATGCAGTACACGTGTCCAAGAT